GGTTTGCAATCTAAAATGTGTCATCACCCGCATTTATTTATATCAAATGGCAGGCGTTTTGATAGTTATCATTAGCCATTTAGCTGGCTTCGGGCTTCACAGAGAGAAGGTTCATCAAAGTAGAAGAAAGTCGAGGGGCGGGAAACAGAAGAGCTATTCACAGATGTAGAAGAAGCAGACAGACACAAAGGTAGGGAAAAAAGGTAAGATGTGTACTGTGAAAGCGGTCGAATATGACAAGCAGTCGAGCCATGGCAGTTTGAAGTGAGAAGTCAACTGCCGGTTAATAGACTTTTTTGCCGCATGAATATACGTCACCCAGGGTGCACCACGTGGACACCCCTCGTCTCCCACATTAAAACCTTGTTCCGTAACCGTTTTAGCTTGCCATTGCTCACTCCTTACGAATGCAGATTTAGCGCTACTTCTTTCCGAATTAAGAGTTTCAAAAGTGTCATTTTTAACTTTTTTATTGAAAACAAAATGTGCATTTCAAAATGTTCATGCTTTTCTGTAGAACTATGACGCAAAATTGTTTATGGCCCCTGAAGGTTCGAATTAAGACTTGAATATGCAATATTGAATAGGCAATATGTAAATTAAATTAGCTCAAAAGGCATTATCCAATAAATTTGCTCGCATAGAGGTTAAGCCAATAATATTAAAGCGTGCTTTCTTTAACCAATCCGATTGGTTATCGATTATTCGATCGCGAATTGACAAAATCCAACGGTCATTTGTATCTTTTATTCATAGAGATTGGCGTGCCTTGGAATGAAAACTCTTACTTCTGAGAATTCAAATAATTCCAGTGAGTAAAAATTTTATTATTGTTTTTTTTTATATTGTTATTATTTGTCAATGAGTTCCCAAGTTTCAATTTGACTTTATGCATGTATTAAATTAACTCTCATCGTTCATATAGTTAAACGTAGAAATCATGTCTTTTTGATGAGAAAAATCAAATTTTTTATACATCTTATTTCCTCTTGGTCAAAATTAGCGAACTCAGTTGTTTACAACTTTTCCCGAGTGCTTGTCAGTGAACAACTAAGACGTGTATTCAGACTCAATTGACACCCACGAGCGTACTAGAATGACTAGCGTAGGAAACCATCCAAACACTGAAGAAAGACGACTTTTCAGCTATGAAGTAGGTTGTGTAGACACAGTAATCCTGGGTTATTGACCGAATAGCGGTTATTGAGCCGAATGGGATGCACCAAATTTTCTAATATCAGAAAAAATGAGCTTAGTTGGATCACTGATGTATTGGACAGAATTGTGTGTCTACGCGAAATGCTTGAAGAAGAACTTATTAAAGCGAGTTTATTTGTCGCAAAGTCATAATAAGGTCATCCAGAATGTACCGCAAGTTAGCAAGATTTGACCTAGTTTATAGTTCGAAACTAACAAATAGGTCAATGATATCTATAGGCCATCATGAGCGTAATAAGGCAATGACTAATCAATTAGGAAAATAGAGATGGTTATCAACTTCATCAGAATATTTGAATAGAAGCCAATTTTTCGTTACAATTTATACCATTTGCCTACTGGGTAGAAGAGTCTATTAGTTATAGAAATCGTCTTTGAATGTTGTGGGGATTTATCATCAGCATTGGTGTGGCAATCAAACGTTTGCCAGTCATTTTTACCCACAATACCATCGGATTTCCCTATAGCCCGTTTGTTATTAGAAATTTGACATTGATTCCTATGTAAACCATGCCGATTTTCAAATTGTCCTTTTTAAGGACACCAACCTTTTATTAACTTTGATATCAATTCTGTTAGTTCATTAAAATTTATATTGCATTTCGTGTACTTTTAGAGAGTTTTTAGAGCCTGTTCGCTTATCGGTAGTAATATCCATAATAGTACAGATGTAATAATTTTGTTGCAAGCTTCTCATCTATTATATGGGTTTCTCGACAAAGGCCTAATAATATAAACCTCTAATTAAATGAGGGTCAATTTTCGACGTGAATTTATATTTATATAGGTCAAAAGGTCACCAGAAATAATATGTGCTATTGCACTCAATAGTGAGCCTAATTGATTAATAATCAATACTCTGGCGCCGGAAATGTCCACAGCTTTTAAAAGCTCTTTTAATTTGCCAAAATTCAGTTGGAGAAACATTTTTTTGCCTCAAATCTGGCATTAAACCTTCAATTATCATTTCGCACGTTAGGGATTATTCGAAAAGTATCTTCCTTATGCTACTCTAATTCACGAGTTAGGTGATCAGTGTTACTTACCCTGGGAAAAAATGGTAAACGACATTTGTTTAGATTGGCCAAAAATGAGGGTAATGGAATCGGAGTTCATCATCCTTAAATAAATTGAGAATTGACCTTTCAGGTTACAACGACAGAACAACAGAAAAACCCACTTCCATTTAACTAAACGAGGGAATGAAATTCGCAGCAGTTAATTAATTTTTTTAAAGGGATGCATCGCCAATATTTTACTTTCCACGAAGCATCTGTTTAGCCAGTACTGAAAGTAGTTTAACCAAGGATGTGTGATTGCAGAATTGGAAGTAAGCGCTGTTTTTAAATAGGAATTTAGCGACATTTTTACTAATATCTCAACAGCAATTCTGCAAATTTTAAAAAAGCTTGAACTTGGATCTGAGGCAAATCAGCCTCATCCGGTAGAGGGGTCGTGGAACTAGGATCATGTCAGTTATGGAAATGACGCATTAAGTCATCCAACGCTTATTCCCTTTTTTTACTTTTACTTTTCACATGACAACCAAGTCACAGTGAACGGTCATGCAGACGACGCGTGTGATGTGGGAGGAAAGAAGGTGATCGCCGAGGTTCGAGAGGAAAATTGCGTCGCTTTGACCTCTCATGCGCTTGACAAGGATTTCGGTGAGTTCTCACAAGATGTACATTACGCATCGGTATTTGAGGGTTGAAAGTAATTACATTAGTCGCATTAATCCCATTTCTCCTTAATTGTATGATCATATTGAGATAACTATTGCCTTTAACACCATGAGTAACTGGGGCATTTCGGATTTTAGGAAATATTAATTTCGGTATTTACACATTAACGTTCAATCCCTGTAACTTTATTTAAACATTACTTTTGAAGCTCCTAAAAAAGATAAGAAAATTGAAGGGGATCCTGAAGCATACGATAGGCCTCTTGAAACATACACAACATTTGTTGAAGAGGACGCTGAAGCAGTCGATGTGCCGCTTGAGGAAGACACAGAACATGTCGAAGAAGTCGATTGCATCGAAGAAGTGGAGGAAAACGGCATGTCGAGTGAGTGGTGTATTGATGAATTGTGTCGAGCAATGTGTTTGCAGTTGTTGTTTATCCAATTATGACACTTTTTCTAACTCAGATGGCCAAGACCCCGAAGACGCCCACAAATTAGAAGACGGCCAAGAAGAGACTGGTTGTGCTGAAAATGAAGTTGTGGAATTGAATGTGACATGTAAGTCAAATAATCTTGTTTCGTTTGCTTTTTGACACTTGAACAGTTCTGAAACACTCGAATTCGACTCTCAAATGTCTGGTTTGAGTGCGCCTGCTAACATACCATGGACAATTGTGGTAGAAACTCGGCTCCAACATTTAGAAACTTAAATAAGAAACTAATTTATTAATTTATAGTTTCGAATGTAATAATGCCATCTTTTGTCTTTCTAGCACACGAGGAATCGAATGAATTGGTGGTGAACAGCGAACCACTTTCCAATGCAATTGAAGAGGCCATTGAAGAAGTGGAAAACGATGTCCACTGTGCTGAAACGTTGTGTTCGGGTGAGTCGATCAGTCACATTCGATAGCGTCACTTCTGTTTGGGTGGAGAGTAGGCTCAAGGTTCGACATGACTTTGAGAAACCTGGGTGGAGGTTCCACGCACCAAAGCTACTTTCACCTCATCAGCGGGGTAGAAAGTGCTGATGAACCTTTATGAGCTAATTAGATCCCTTGTGAGGGTCAGTTGAGCAAAGTGGCATAAGAATTGTCTTAATTCCTCCTCTCCTTTCTAACAGGCAAAGTCATTAGTGAGGTCTTTGCTATCAACTTGTCACCATGTTAGTGGAGAATGTAGGGC